GATGAGGGTAGGAACGTAGATCGACCGGTAAATCGAGCGCTTCGCTTTCTGACTCAGCTCTCTCTTCACCACGACGGACCAGTTGATCTCCCGCTCCGTTCTTCCCCCATTCGTGAACAAGATCCCCAGATACGTAAACTCCTCCACTTGAGGCAGGACGACCCCCCTGACCCGGAGAAGGCACTCTGCCCTTTTTCAGTCTCCTCTTGCTCTGAGTCAAACTCTGGCCCCAACATGTAAGGCTGGATGGACGCTAAATAACCCCCCTCTATCAAACTAGAGTGGACCACTCTGGAAGCTGGAAGGGGAGCAGAGTGTGAGGCACTTCGTTTAGATTTAAAGAGACAGCCTCAAAACGAGTTGATCCGGGACACACCTCAGAAAAGAGGTGAAAGAGCATTGCCRTTTCACATTAGACCCAACTGAATGATTTAAATGTGGAACATAAGGATTTAAAAGCACAATATGTTGTTTTTAATCACATCCCGAGTACTTCTTTATTTGCGGATGCTTTGATTTAATCAGATTTATTTTTACAAAATAATTTTAAAAAATATGAGATTTTGCAGCCATAAATCTTTGAAGAAAAAAACAATATTTGGCACAGCTGTTGTCTTGCAGACTGGTTGAAGAACTTRAATAGATATCCACTTCTGAAAGTTCTCTGCTTCTAACTTTGATCAAATCTTTGTCTTGTTTTTTTTGTTGAGCAGGATATCAATATTTCTTTCTCTCCAACAAAAACACTAAGAAACAGAGGAACGTTCTGATGTCTGCTCTCTTCCTATTTTCTGCCAGTGAGTCAGAGGCGTCTGTTTTGAAGAAATGCCAGATGACTAAACAATTAAATTCAGATCTTCTACAGGCTGATATTGACARTCAGAGGAGCTGTCAGATCTTTTTKCCTAAATACATTCCCATAAGCCCTAAAAATTGCTAAAKTATTTTTGTCTGTTGGTTTTTGCTTTTGCCAGCCGACGAGCAGAAAAATATTTGATTTGATTTCAACCAAACTCTCACATTTTGCGTGCCTGATGCTGACAGGAAATTCTGTTTTTGTTTTTTCGACATTTTGAGGACCCATCAAAATAGGATTGTTTGAGACTTAACACACGGTAATTACTGAGTTCCAGCTCCTGCAGAGGAATCAACGATTCTTCGCGGAGTTGACGGCGATGTCACAGCAGCCATGAATGCACACGACTTCCATCAGAGCTCCACTCGTGTGACTAATTTGTTAAAAGTGGATTGAAATACAACAGAGTTTCCACAGCTCCACCAGTGACGGCCTCAGTGGGAGTGTTCCCAGATTACCATACAAATTACAGCTTTTATCCCTAAAATAATTTCTTATTGGTTGTCGYCTCCACATTGTTTCTCCCTCACGTCTGATTCTGCTCTGAACCATCCATCCTTTCCCTCTGTGCGCCTTTTTCTCCTCCCATCATTGCTYTTTAATTCTTCATATCAAGTTTTAATCTACTGAGGACAAAGTACAACATGATCCATCAATATTGTCAATATTCATGTCTGTTCTCGTCTCACGGTGTTTCAGCGAGTCGTTCAGAGATAATTTAGGTTTCATTCATGTGGCGCTTTCAAAAAGCTGATWAGAATCTCTGTCCAGAAATGTGAAAACATTGTTTCTTTTACTGTGCAGAGTCGGTGCAAGCAAGGACGATTCCTTATTTTATTTTATTTTTTTATGTATTTGTATGATAGACAGAAACTCTCAGTGAAAAGGTGATGCTTAAGAGATTCAATTCAGAATGCAAGAAAAGAGGTGAAGAGAGCAAATGAACACCTCATGTAAAAAAAAAACCCTGCATATGTTCTGACATTTAAAACAAAATCCACTTTAAAACATCCGCTGAAAGGAACGGGATGTGAAACTCGAAGCAAAAACAAAGCATCAGCAATTAAAAACGAGGTTCTAATTAATCAAAAGTCTCAAAATGATTAAGATYAAAATATAAATAAATAAACAAAACCTCTGTTCCAAAACAGTCGGGACGTGTTGTGAAATGAAAATGAACTAGAGAGTTGGTAATTCCTGCAAAAACGCTGAAAACTGCAGAAGCTGAAAATGTTTAATAAAAAAAAACTGTCAAAAAAGTGTGTCGATAAAGCTGAACAGAGCAGACATGTAGCTAAAACTAGCAGAAACAAGATGGATAGCAGACAGATGGTAACAGGACAGAAAAAAATAGATCACATCAGCAAAAAATGAGAAAAGGAAATTTTGTAACTGATTGACTAAATTTTAGATCCAGTTTTGTATTTTTCTCATTTCTGATCATTGCAGCCATGAGCTTTAAAACTGAGAATGAGAGTTGGTGTGTGTTWTCATGTGTTCTTTCTGTCTGCATAAACACAAGTTGGTTACGGTCTGACGTAAACGTTA